TGCGTCCTATCTACAGCGGCTGAAGCGGCGCCCGTTATCAGCAACACGAATGTTGTATGTGATTATAAGGGACACGCGAATGTTGATGTCTTTAGTCGTTGCTCAATCGGCCAGTGGCCAACGCAAATCGGATCGTAGCCCCCACCGCTTTCATGTTGGGTTTCCACTTCGATCCATCGGACGAATCCCCCCGACGTAAAATGAAATGTTGCCTCAGGCTCATAACTTACTCTGGGACTGCCTCTACTGAGATTAGTGAAGACGTAAATAGAACTATGAAACCGAAAAACATATATCCATTTTTTGTAGAAGCTTGAATCGCCTCATAAAGTGAACTTTACTCCGTTCTCTCAAAACCATCTACACCATGCCTCTAGCAAAACAAGTTATAGCGAAAACAAGCAATCTAGAGCGCACCAAGTAGAGAACCCGCTACAGGTTAAAGCTAGCCGAGCACATAAGTATTACATCAGGCGAAATCCTCCACGGCATAGCTAACAACTAATAGGGTATCAACTAGGAATAAAAATTAATCCGGCCAGTGCCAGGCTACTACCTCAAAACGACGACTCCTATTCTTAGGCGGCGCTCCCGGGCAAAGAAAGCCTATTTAAACAAAAGCTATTCCAGAAACACTTAAGCCAGCTATCTATTAGCCCACTCATAGAGCTTTATCACAGTGTTAATAATACTTTTCAAGCTATCTTCAGTTCAGAGAACGGCGACATCAACAGTGTTGCCGCATTTCCAATGCCGCATAGCCAGCCTACGAGTCTAGTCAGCGATGTATTACGTCTAAAGAAAGAGTTCAAAAGAGTCAAACGCAAGAGACAAGAGCTCACACGTCCTAATCAGAGACAAAAAATTGTAATTAATAAGTTTAGGTCTATTGCCCATGGCATTCTTTAAGTCACATCATTTCCAGATATTTCAGCTTAATTTAACTATACTTTATATTAATATTTCGAAGGTACTCTATGTCGCTGGTGTTTTGATGGCGGTTAGGTATGCAAGATAGCCAGGATTACTTTTCTCTATATATATATATATATACTTCACAATTTTACATTATATATAACCATATTACTCGCCTCTTTATGTTTAAAATTAAACCCAGGAAGTTATTTACAGAAACATATTTCAAGATTTCCAGACTCAAGAAGTATCATTTTCAAACTTAACTATTTATTTATACCATTAGCACTGTCGTGGTTCTATGCTATTTCAGCACAACAGTAGTCATAGAGGAATGGACAATATCCTATCAAAAGCCTGGCGGTATGTTCGTACGTCTGGGTCTCCTTGACAGCGACATTAAAGTCTTATCCTTGCGGTTTCATCCGGTGTCTAGAAGAACACACCAGCGTTGTCTCCGAGGACATCGCATTAGCAGCGAAACGATGCAGAAACTTAAAGCACCGATTCAGAACCTGATTCTAAGGGTACTAGAGCAACGCCAAACGCATATACTTGCCGTTAAAAATGACTAGGATCTGTTTAACCTAAACGCTCGCACTGTGATACCACCGCCGAAACTCTACGGCTACAGCTTACACGAGTGTCACTTTATTCTAGCAAATCTAAGTGAAAACAGTAACGCGGGTAAGTACGCGGGATATATTACTCTTCTTAGCTTACCTTAGCGTTCTAGCATTCAGAATTCTTCTTTAATTTACCAGTTAGCTATATATCCATTTAAGACGGTCGGCTTGAAACGCAGGTTTCCGTGTCACTACCAACGTCAGCACAAGTACAATACACTAGAGAGAAGTTTAGTATAAGAACAAGCAAATGAAGTCAATTTTAGAACGAACAATCTTCTAGTCTCTTCGTTTTAGCAGCCAAGACTTAGAGATTTCGTCGAAGCTCGTTCATAACCTGCATAAGGTTGTCATAGCATCCACAAGAGGATAGCATAGTAACCTAGAGAATGGTAGGGTGTGGCTAGTGATGATTAAATATCCTCTCTGCGTTGCCGAGAGGCGGAGTTAATGGGGTATTGGGGGTAGACGGCATAGATACGCCTCGACTATCTGTCGTTATTGGGCTTAAGGTGTCAGACATTACTAGAGACGGTGTGACGGCTCGTAGCAGTTATTTTCTACTCTAGCACAGTATGGTCTAATACATCTTTATATATCGGTTAACTCGACTACGTGTGAGGTATTAGCTTTGGCGCTCCTGCCTGTCCGTTTCGTGGTCCCGTGACTCAAGATTGGCAGCACACTATACCATCACCCCTAAGCTAAGGAGCCAACCGGCCCTATGATAAATAAGCTACTTTTTTTTATGACACCTGTAATCACTTACCGGTTGCCTGTCAAAACCGGGAACCTAATCGGCTACGTACCTTAATGATCGCTAGGTTCCGAATAGACTGGTTGTGTACCTTAGCAATCGCTGGGTTGCTAAACCAATCGGGTGTTCCCCTTAGTAGCGGTAGATTCCGGGCCAGTGGGCTGCGTACCATTATAATCGCTAAACCAATCGAGTGTTCACCTAAGCAGGTGTAAAATCCGACCAATGGGCTGCGTACCATTATAATCGGTAGGTTTCCAAACAAATCAGCCGCGTGCCATTTTAATCCGCAGGTTTTCGAACGAATCGGCCACATGCCATCATAATCAGTAGGGTTGCTGAATCAACCAGCCGCGAACCACAACAACAGCTTATTCTTAGAACCTACTAATTAACCGTGAACCTTAATGTCATGTCGTAGGGCGGATCACCCAGCCATATCATCGCTCCTCTAAGAATAGTATAGGCATCAATTAAAGGTACGTCATTTCGGAGTAGCCACTAATAGATTCAATTCTATAAGAATATATAAAGGACTCTAACTACCTAATCTCTCCAATTCCGAAGTATAGCTTCCATTTCAGGTGATAACGCCACGATATCAGCTCCAATATACACACCAAGATTCAGCAATATCTCAGCAATATCGGTAAAGTTAAGCGCAATAGCGAAAAATAACGCTATCCGTCTGAACTCTCCCTAGACGTTAGGGTCAGCGCCGCGCTTAAGGAGTAGTTAGAGTTGTAGGAGATTATGAGCCTTCGCCACGATAATCACAGGTATATTAAAAGCGAAATTATTTAATATATAATACTAATAAGATTTCCTAACGGTAGATCCCTAGAGAGAAGTACCTACAAAAGCTTATGTCCTGATGAACCTTGTGCCAGAGCTCCACCTCCAGAGAGAATGTAAATAGCAGTGTTTCCGCCACGTCTAGGAACAAAAGGGTCTATTCCAGTCTTAAGTAGCTCTATAATGGTTTCTGCCTTATCACAGTTAAAATATTTAGAAGGGGCATATAGAAGCATGTAAAGCACTCGATCGCCTTTTTAACCAGGTAATTCGGGGTTCATATCGATATTTACAGCACTCCCAAGGGCGGCTATCATTTATAGCCCTTTCAGACAAGCTTCATATACCATCCATAAGTCAGCAGGGGGTATATGGATAGTATTCATTTGAACTTAGATCCAAACAGAAGCGGCATATCGTTCAGGATAGCGTACAGAATCTACGAGCGATAGGAAGACATCGAAAGATATATAAAATGCTACGCGAGGGAAAAAGAATAGTCATAGCATAGAGCGGAAAAACAAATTTAAGAAAGCGGAGAATATTTATTTCACGCTACTATAATAGGAGAGATATTATCTACACAATACTACTCAGAGGTCAATATTACTCGGAGGTCAATAGGCACTACGTCGGCGCGAGCCGATCCAATCAGCACAAAACCTCGCATGTGATGCTGTCGACAAAGGCTGATTCGATTTTTAGACAAGAGCATGCACTTTAATAGGTCCCGACGGCTAATTGCGCATGGAATGGAAAGCACCAATCGGTAGACTGCCTTCGCCTTGCGCTAATAATTTTGGCAGGTTTTCACAGTAGACGAAACCGCTCTGTGGCGGTTGTAGTATCCGAGAGGGCAGCAAGGAACGCCATTTCGTATGGTCTAGGCTTCTATGAAGTAAGAGTTGCTGGAAAGTGATGCACTGTTAAAACTAGATTTTAGGCTAGATCCCTTCCCGCTTCTTATAGAGGTAACGTAGTGCCTAGACTATATCAGTGATAAGTAGCTATTAGTTAAGGCGTGAAAGTTTAAATAGTGCCGTCTGCTAGTACTTAATAACTACTTTAATAATAAGCACTTAGCTTACTAAGAGATTACTATATAATGTGGTAAGGTAATTTTATATAGCTATCTAAAATATAGGCAAGAGAAATTTAACTATATAGATTATTTCCAAAGTTATATTAAGTAAGTCTATAGGGTAAGTCTTAGGACATTACACCAGGTTATAAAGAGAAGATAACGATAGACGGAGTGCTATAAAAAGAAACGTAGAGGACGGCAGTAGAAGAAAGCCATATAGAGAGCAGCCGCTTCTAAGTAACCTAGCTACTTTTACTTGTATTATATAATGTTATAATTCTTAACTAGTTCTAATTAAATACTTTATATATGGGTAAATGTTAGTATATGTTAAAGATTATAAACCTTTTAGCGGATAGGTGGATATATAATAAGCTGTTGTATTAACGAACTCTATGTTTAGTTAGATCTAGCTCCTCCTGACTACTGTGACGTACGCCTATACCGTCAGACCATAGGGCAAAAGATCAGGTATTGAAAGCAATTCTAGCAATCAACGTAGGCGTAATAGCAGTATATATAGCGCAGAGCAGTGCCGCCACAACGGTTTGTTACAACTACCACTAAGCTATTAGACTTTAGTTAAGTTTCGCTTTAGCTATTACCGCCATAGGGTGACGTACGCCTATTCTTAAAAGTAAAATCTGGGCCTAGACTACCGTTAAAATCTTAATCTCTAACGGTGTTATCGTCTTAGGAGGAAAGAAGCCGGTTACTTGTAAGTTTAATAGATAGGGTTTCTGTGGACTAATTACTACCCTAGGACGTAGTTTATTAAAGTCTATATCTACTTTAGGATCTTTAATAATAAGGCTAAAGAGACTATAAGTGTATATAAAGTATAGAACTAAAGCTAGCACGCGCCGTAGTGTAAAGAGATTATTATAGGACTAGGTAAGGGTAAGGATAAACTATATGGCTTATATATATACCTTATAAGGCTAGACCTCAGAAGATATAAAGTTAAAACTAATAATTAGTTAAAAGGCGTATAGAATATAAAAATAGTAGTATATACTATATGACGTTGTTAGTATGCTCTTTTAAGTTAGGATAAGAGTGGCTTACTAAAGAAAGAGAAAAGATAGACTCTAGCAACTGCTTTTTTTAAAGAGCTTAAATATCTCGCTATACCACCTAAGATATTTCTAGTATATTATAATAATATCCTGTTCTATTAATAGAGATGCTCTTTGATTCGTAATGATGACCTTATACACTAGTTCTATAACCTAAAACATTTTAGTAATAAAATCGTGGGGGTTTGCAGGCTAGAAGTTTATTATAGTAGTAAGATCTGAAAAGGAGAACGTTAGCTTCTATTAGTTTCTCTAAATGCATCACCGGCTTACCTGGACGCATTGTACCTGCTCCTGCGTCATTGCATGGGAGTTGCTCCAGTATCAAGGAATCTTCCAAAGTGTTTCCAGCTTCGTTGAACAGCACCCCAGTGGTCAGATCAAACATCCTAGCATGTAAATACACAATAGCAGTTGCTCTAGCGGAGGACCCAAAGACCAGGTATGTAGGCGATGATGTTAATGCTAGTTGAGAGTTAGATTCGTTATTCTGACGTAAGAAGGGAATGCGTCAACTCACCAGGCTGTCAAGGCCGTCCAGACCGCTTTTCCACACGACGGGCGTATAATTGGTTGTCGATTTGAACCACATTCTTGATGTATTCGTCGAGTGTCTCCGGCCGGTCTTTCATGCAGATAACATCTTTCACGTTGTCCTTTAAACCACGATAAAACATTTCCATTAAAAGTGCGTCATTGAACGTTAACTTTTCGGCAATGGCGCGAAATTGTGCTGCATATTCTGAGGCAGATCTTGTCTGTCGGAGCTCTCCAAACTGGTCTAAGGCTGGCGTAAACGTTCGCTGGTCATCCATCTTGCTATGACAGTCTCCTTAGCTTTGTAAGGTGCTACATTGAAAATAATGGCTGGGGTATGAAACTGTGCGGGGTTAAACTCGCTCTAACCGAGTGCTAATTGGCATCATTGCCTCGCATGGATTGGGTGTGGCTGATTCACGTGATCAGACACCTTGCTCCGGGTGATCGAGGTAGGGCGCGATCGTTCGCGCAGAACGCGGCTGCTGTTAGCATGTATTATGTCGGAAACGTAAAGGGACTATGGCTAGAGGAGGGGGGTTGCGCGTAACTAGTAAAGCAGCAGCTTATCAAAATCATTATCTGCATTCTATATAGCAAAAACTCTGTAATCTTCTCGTAGACCGTAGCTATAAGATCTGGTAAAATCAACCTTTTAGCGTGCTATAGCCTCGGAAGATACATAAAGAACGTTAACATTCTGCTTGAGTGGTAGGCCAGGGGTAAGGTAGAGTGAAACAATCTACCTCCATCCTTTGCGTAGCAAATCATCGCTACCGTAGACAGTTAGTTATCCTTCTAAACCACATCCTTTCCGGCGCCTCCGCGTGTGCTGGAGGGGGATGAGGGAGACGACGCGGTGGTAGCGGCAAATGTTTCGCTGCTGTCCCGCTTCCTTCTTATCGTCGTTATTTCCTCGAGGTCATCTTCGCTGGGGCGGCCGAAGTTGAGCTGGTTATGAGTACGCCTCTCAAGATACTGTACTGTACTTATGATTAATAAAATGTAGGCTCTCCCACGTAGTGGCATTTATACTTACCAGATCTGGCGGCGGGGATGGAAGATGAGGAACTTGACTCGTCATCGCTGGTAGGAATTGTCGTGGGCATAAGTTTAGCGACAGGCTCAATGCCGATTCGTTGTAGCTTATTTCGCATTGCGGGTACGAGGTCGTCTGGGACGGCGTCTTCCCACTCTCTCTGAAAAGCGCGTCGCTTCTAATAAACCTTTAATGAATAATGTCTAGAAACTTATCGAATGTATTAATATAATTGGGCGACTAGAGTTCGAAGAGCTAAAAATCGATCAAGCGGAAGGTTTTGAGTGCGGATATCTATCTATGAAAATAGCACTACAATTGTTCATCTATCTTCCATCTTAGCTTATTCTTTAATTCATTCTTTTCCTTGTATGAGCTCTCCTCAGTGTATTGCGGCGTGTACCCCTTTAAGTATACACTTGTATGACCTCCCGAGTGAATGATCGCGTGGTATATCACTCCGCAGCTAGAGTCTAGGTCATTGAAAAAGTTCATTTGGCTCATGTCGACTGTGAACAAGTCATGACTGTTTTTGTAGAACAGCGCACATGTTTCTACTGTTCCCAGTGACCATAGGGTTTCAACAGGAAGAAGGCGAGTAGTGGCCACAATGAAGTTGGAGTGATTTTGTTCTTGAAAGTGGTTTGATCGGTGGACCAGATACTTCTCTAGGTCGAGATTTTCGAGTTCATCAGTGCCTAAGGTCTGACCACAAGCCTTGACTAAGAGCAGAGCCTGGAGAGTCGCAGGGTTCCTGTGCTTTTCGCGCTTGTCAAGGTCGTATGCGTATTTAAGATGTGATCCAATGAGAATAAGGTCAATCTCATCTTCGTTGTATTCTTTCAAAGTTTCACAATTTTTTTAGTTCGTGCCATATTTGGTCTAGGTCACGTGGACGGAGCACCGACCCCCAAACTCTCGCATGCCGCTCTATGTTCACTTGTTCTTGGTTTGTCTCGGAAGCCGAGAAGAGTCTCATCCATCTACTGGATACCATTCTGTTTTTGGCTTTCTGCTGCTCCGGCAGTTCCTCGGCCACTTTCCACCATAGTTCCGTAGGCAAATCCTGTGCAGCTTGGCTCATGCTAGTTTCGTGTGGCGCGATTCGCGGCCGCTGATATGTTTCAGGACAGATCAACAGCCGCGGATGGTTATATACTAGTGCAGCGTCGATTGTTGACCAATCTTCCCCATTTCGAGTGCCATTTGTGGCCGACTTATTACCGACCTTTTTCCCCGAAAAGGAGTAATACGGTACAAAGTAGTCCAGGTTTAGCGTCCGCAAACCGATTATAGCCAATTTTGGTCAGTGGCCTAAATATGCTAGACAGGTGCCCCCGCGCCTGCCCCACCCGCCTTATCTAGATTTTTTTACATCGAAATGGGGGACACTGAACCTG